ACCAAATGTCATTAAATCTGAACTTTCATTATCCAACTCAACCTGCCAATAACCATCTTTCATATCAAGCACGGTAAAAAATTTTTTGTTTGTTAATTTGATAGCAATATCATCATATGATGGAATTAGGAAGCGTTCTCGCTGTATAGCTTGATTCAAGTCTTTTGGATCAAGACAAAGTCGAAGATCACCATCTGGTTTTTCAACTATAACCAGAGGATGTACCCACTCTGATGGTTTATCAATTTTTTCGATTATGTCCTTGGACACAAGATCATATAATTTTTTTTTCAAGGGTTCTAACAAAATGTGAGGCACTCTCCTAATAGCATTTATTTTTGGTTTTATGTCTGGCTTTAAAGTTATATGATGTTGTGTTTCAAACTTTCCTAAACCCTCAAAAGTATTTGAATATTTATTAACAACATCCTCTAGAAGTTTTAAACAATATTTGTTTGCTCAAAGAATCTACCCTATTTATCAAATTTAATTTTAAACATTCCTGTAACCCCAACAAGGGAATCTGACCTTCAGCACTAACTACAACAAAAGAAAGTCTTTCTTTGAACTTCTTAACTCTACACTCTAGCATAACTTCACCTAAACAATTTAATTTGAAATTCGGATCACCATATGACATCAAAGTAATATTTGCCTTGCGAATAGACAAATTTGGGGCAATTTCATTCAAAACATTCAAGGGTAATGTGCTTACCTCGGCTCCGGTGTCTAACTTGAATGTTACAGGCTTACCATTGATCCATACCTTCTTTGTCCACATTGTTACTGTACTGTTTTCGATTTTTCTTCTAACTCTATCAATAGAACTCACATAAAACTCATAGTCACTTCCAGCTTCACTATTTGACTCAGAACTGTCTTCTTCTTTGGACACACAATGGACTTTTCTCTTGAAAAATTTACTTTTATTAAAATCATTTTTATCTGGACATACCTTAGCAAAATGGTCACGACCCTGGCATTTTGCACATGTTTTTCCAGTAGCAGGGCACCTATTTCCAAACCTATGGTTATAAACACAATTCTTACACAGCTTATTAGGGTCTTCTGTTTTACTGAAGCTTCTGGTTGTACTAGCTCTAATAGCATCTACTCGAGATTCATTGTCTAAGTTCCTTACTTGGTATTTACTGATTTCTGTGGCTCTGCAGAAATTTATTGCTTTATCCAAAGTTAAAGAAGCCTCTCTCATTAGTTTTTCTTTACTAGAAGTGTCTCTCAAACCTATGACAATTCTATCTCTTATCATCTCATCTTGATTGGAATATTCAGTTGTTTTGACTGCCTTTCTCAGCTCGGTCAAGAAGCTATCAAAAGATTGCCCTTCTTTTTGCACTACAGTATTAAATTTTGCCCTTTCAAAAATAACATTTTTTTGGGGAGCACAATGATCTTCAAATTTCTTAATTATATCTGTCAAAATCTTTTCTTTACCTGCCTCAAATGAAAAACTGTTGAACAAGTCAAGGCCATCATCACCAATTATGGATAAAAAACATGCAATTTTTTTATCCTCAGCTTTGGCGTCTAATCCTGTGGCCTTTAAGAATAAGACAAATTTTTGAGAAAATTTCTTCCAGTTTTCAGAGATATTTCCATCAAGTACGAGCGGTTCGGGAGGCCTAAAATAATTTTCCATTTTCTTTTTTGTGCAGCAAAAACAACAAGCTGTGTGCTGGACAAAAACAACTTAAACAAGCCTAAAACAAGACGAATTAGACTATATTTTTTTACACTTCCGACACGTTGTAGGTTCACTAGCAACCTGACACCATGTATAACTTCGTCAAGCCCTTAGTTATAAAATAAAGCAGCTTTACCACGTTCTAATATGATCCTCTATTAAGTAGATCTATTACAAAATTCTGTACATAATAATTGTATCTATTATAACAATTGACAACTACTTGTTCATGTCACCAAGGATGTCTAATCACAAACACATTGATAATAATAATAGTTACTAACTACAAATGTTCATACAAATAGGTAGATGAAACACAATTAACAATATTATAATAATACCATATTATACAGCTATTTCGTACAAGACATCTGTACACACCAAGCCAATTGCTGACACTCTACAAAGCCCAGATTCGACCAACTATGGAGTACTGCTCACATATATGGAGTGCAGCACCCAAACATACCTTAATGCTTTTGAACACCGTGCAAAAACGAGCTATCAAGCTGATCAATGACCCCGCACTTACTCGTAACTTGGATGGTCTCGAACATCGCAGATCTGTGGGCGATTTATCTCTCTTCTACAGGTACTATCACGGAAAATGCTCTGAAGAGTTGGCACGTATGATTCCACCGAGAGTAGCGCCTACCAGGCAGGGACATTTCCTCTGATAGTGGAAGTGAGTGTGGCTGAAAATTTTCGGTTCTTCAATTTTTCACTTGCTAGACATATTATCCATACTCACAGATTAGCCGGACTATTTTTTTACGTAACTTTAGTATACTTCTCATTGGTAGACTTATTTTTATCAATGCAAAAAAAAGGCTGTGCATTCGTAAATATAATAAATTTACATGCTTAAAATAATAATAAAATGACAAAATAGCTTAATTGCTACAGTGTGCCCAAAAAAATCAACCAATCAAAGCCCAACACCGTCAGACTTCCAAGATCATTAACGCCTCCTTAATGAAAAATTCCCATTACTTAATTGTAGAATTCAATTTAATTCAGTTGATAAATGAGATTTTTATAACCATTGGTGGCTAACGAAAATTTACAGACTCATCTAAGCTTAGAATTTCCAAAATGTAGGTTTCCTCTATTTTAGAGAGATTTTAAGCGCGTCATTTTGTCACGTCCTCAACTCTATTTGAGTTATTATTAGACGTTGTTTTTTATGGCTTAAAATCTCTCCATTGTTGCCAATTCAATAACTAACACTAGTTTTACACTTGTACTCGCGCACACAGTCCAGCTACACCAAAGTGAGTACTCGGTTTGAAAATGATGCCAAAATTCCAGCTTTTTTGTCAGATTGTTGAATAGATATATTCATCACCTAGATGCTACTGCTTTCTAGATACAAATACCAATCGGGGTCGCTTTTCATATAAATAATCAGAAGTAACTTTTGTTATGCGCAAAAGAGGGTGTGATCCAAATATGTAACACCTCTAGGCGCAATATTTATGTTTTATTGCAGACTCGCGTCCATTTTTTTCTGACCACCTTCTCAGCATTAGTTACACTACAGCACGATAATTACAATTAGAAGTTAATTTATTTGTTAGTTATAGAATATTTTTTGCTATTTTTAGTCCTGTTTTTAGTCTTTTTAAGCGTTTGAATCTTAGTTTTAGTCAGCTCTAGATAAGTTTATTATTTCAACAAATTGAAACTAGTTTTGCTTCTTAGTTAAGCTTAAATTAAACACAAGTGTTGAGGTCAATAATGATAGTTTTAGCATAGTTTTTATAGTTCCGATGACGCTTTTGGGTTAGTTGAGCATCACAATTTACAATGAAGCATGAGTCCTTTCCAGCTGTCCCAAATTGTCGTCTGCGTTTTGTGGCTCTAGAACGGGCTATAGCTTCGATCAACTTTCTGTTGATTCATTGCGCCACTCAGAATAACAACTACAGTCTTCCGAAGACTAAATAAGGGCATGTAGATCATCTTTGGACGGAGTTTCTATCATACCTACATGCCAACTTACTCACAATGCCTAGAAAACGTCATGTCTTAATTGTTTTAGACAGAGGCCTCGCTTTAGTTCTTTTTCTAGAAACACGTAAATTACGTTTCTACCAAGTTACTTGATGAAAGTTCATTATATTTATGAAAAGATTTGATTAAATTCTCACAGATTATTTTAATATCACAACATATGTGTGTCTTCAGGTGAATACTAACTACTAGTAGTATCAATCCACCTGTCCTAGGCTACGCAGATGATCTGGCGGTAATAAACGGAGGCAAGCATGGAGGCATAATAACAGACCGAATGTAAAGTGCCTTGAATATAATAAAACTGAACAACCTGAAAACTTAGCAAATTACTGCACAGGACCGGTATTCTCGTCCTCGAATACGCTCACCGCGTTTTAGTCGCTCGGCACTTACAATGTGAATTTACATTAAAAGTGCCGAGCGACTAAAAAGCGGTGAGCGTTTTTGAGGACGAGAATACGGGCCCTAAAGACTTTTTCACATGAACAGAAGAAACATTAGAATAGTCGTTGGTCTGCTCACTGAGGTGGGCACTTTACTACCCAGGAAGCTGTCCTCTTTTGGGAGAAACCTAGAAATCTTGGACACCAACTAGAAGCAGAGTCACGCACAAAATATCTAGCAAGGTAGCAGCTGCAATGACTCCTAATGCAATCTACATTCTATCCACCTGAAAAAGACACTGCATGTCGAAACATTGTTGTAATATTAAAATAATATGGGAAAAATTAATCTAAGATCTAAGCCTTTTTTTTGAAAACCGGTAGGTATATCTTCCTTTTAATGTTTAACGAAACGATGAATCCGTACCTACACATGTCGTAATCAAAAATATGTTTTTTTTGTAAATATATTGTATGAGGCAACACTAACATCCAAAATGCGGAATCAAAAGAATTCACAATATTTTTTATCCATCAAGCACTTGCACCTGTCACTCGTGTTAGAGAAAAGAAGCTTTGAAATCCCGTTCTTGCTATTTGCTCTTTGCTCCACTGATTATTGGACCTAAATATTCATGAAGCTAAGCGAGCTGACTAAACAAAGGGTGGGGAATAATAACCATATAAACCCGAAAGAGGTTTTCAAATAGACTCAACGTGATTCAACCTCATTCAATGGTAATGTTTTATTTATAACATAAACAAAGCAATGCCATTTTAAACATCCGCTTAAAAACGACCAAAATTCAGGGCTACCTTTCCAAGCTTCCTAGGCACCATAGAACTGATCTTAGAGTTTCACCTCACAGCTGATATGCTGTTTTCCGTACTAGTGCCGGCTCCCAGGCAGCTGACCCTAGAACGTCAGCTCAACAAGAGCGTACTGATCAGCTGGACGGCACCGGAAAACGTTGGACCCAACCAAATTGAGAGCTACCACGTGTATGTCGATGGAGTACTGAAGGCCACTATTAAAGCCACAGAAAGGACTAGGGCTTTAGTGGAAGGAGTCGATAGTAACAGGGTAAGAACTCATTTTTTGTGAACTTTGGTTAGTCATGGTTTTTGGCAGCAAAATAAGGACCAAAATTTTTTTTTTTTGTAGTTCTGGAATAGTTTATTTAAATAACGATTGGAATATTGAAACGGCGTTCAACCAATATACTTTAATTACTTTACTTCACATATATTCATAACCTATTACTTTATTATGTATAACAAATAATGTCAATGTGATAAAGGAACAGTATAGTCGTACAAACCGTACAGGGACAGTATTAACTCGTGTAAGAATATTCCAAAACAAAAGACAATTATCTCTTAGAGCGAATTGCAACCACTCGAAAGTATAGGATACGGTTCACTGACGACTAAACGAACAGAAGACTGCGATTTCCGAGGCTGTGACATCACGCAAGCTCCTGCATAATTTATCTTCACAAGGAATTTTCTCGAAGACTATTTTAAATATAGGACTGCGGTTTTCACGAGGGATCTTAGAATTTTTTTCTTGATTTAAGTAGCGTAAGTCGTTTTTTAGGGTCACACCCCCTTTAAAGAAGTTCCACAAAAAATTGTGTGGAATAAAAATGTTTATATTTCTTTTCCTCAAAATGCCCGTGACGTTGAATTAGCTAAAAATGGATGGACGATACTTGGGGAATAGGAACGATAGATTGTTCCCACATAAGAAATAACAAGAACCTATTTGAGGTTAAACACGTCCTTATTTATTACTAGTTTATACTTCTATTCTGAATAGACACTTTCCATAAAAGAATTTACTTCATCTAGAAAATTATACTCCACAAATTACTAAGAAGTAAAAGCTCTTACTTGAAGTACAAGCAAATACTCTTTTTAATCATACCGGCCAATATCAAGTTCAACAGATTCCGCTGAAGAATTTGTTCGGAAATATATTCAGAGGAGAGAAATAGAAAACAACCTAAGACGGTCCTGCCTAGGGCGGAGTATAATCCTTCTCTCGCCAATAAAATTCGTCATACCTGTCAAAGTTTGTTTACTTTCAGTATCTAGTTTCGTGAAATGAACTTTAAGTCAGTTTCAAGCATTCAGGGTGCTTCAAAAAAGTGTAGCAGTGCGAAATTCTATTTTTTTAAATGGAACACCATATATATTGTACATTTGTTATGCCCGTATTACATATGTGTATTTTTCCGTGTATTTATTTATGTAGTTCAGGGTGCCAACATTATTTTGTTTTTCATAATGCTGATTTATGTTGCGTTTGAAGTTTTTCGGTTGTTAGCACTGGCGTAGCCAGGGGTGGGGGGCAAGGGGGCGTTTGCCCCCTCCCCCCCCCCCCCCCAACCCAAGACCCTTACATTTTATGAATATTTCTTCAAAATTAAGATAAACAGTCCCAAAAATAGCGTAAAGAAACTTGAAAAAAAGGCGTGGCACCCAAAAATTTCGCGCCAATTCGTGGCAAGAGATGCTTCCTGCAAATTTGCCCCCCTAAGACAAAATCCTGGCTACGCCACTGGTTGTCATCCTGAACTAAAATCTGTTTTTTTTTTAAAGATAAAAGTCAAAATGACGTTATGTTGGCAATGCAATATAAAATTGTCAATGCTTTCAAATTTTTTATGTAGAAAAGGCTTGTGTTGCCAACATAGTTACTAAATTTTTGACTTGGGAAATTATCTTTAAATAAAAAACAGACTTTACATGAATAAATACACGGAAAAATACACAGATGTAATAGGGGCATTAGTCCCCTTCAACCTGATTTCAACGATATACGATTTGATATGTCTCATGTTATTTTTCAAAAAAATAATAATAATAGCTTAAGACATCTGTATTTATTTATATTTCACTTTGTAAATTAATGAATAACATTGAAACAATTCATTGTTTATAAACAATTCTCTCCAAAGCTTAAATGGTGTAATTTTTCTTTCTTCAATATGAGGCCTTGAAAGGGTTTTTCGTTTTTTGTCCTAAAAACTATTGAAGATAGACATATCAAACTGTATATCGTTGAAATCAAGTTGAAGGGAACTATCAAATAAGCGACAATAGACATGGTATTCCATTTAAAATAATATAACTTTGCATTGCTACACTTTTTTGACGCACGCTGTATGTTTGAAACTTACTTAATTTAAAACTTTTGACAATTTCCTGAAACTTCTGCATTTAACACTTTCGTCAAATGAAAAAGTTAGGAGGGAGTGACATTTATAATAGATCACCCTGTACACCATAGCATGGTGTATTGAACATTCATCGGATAAAATGCCCATTGACCCAACTGTCTGTTTTCTATCCGACAAGAAGGCTTTAAACCAGCTGAATTCCGAATTTATTGTCGTAGGTAATACCATAAGAGCTCAGATTTAGCCGGATATTTTTTGGCTTGGTCTCGAATACTTACTTTTAGGAAATTAAACGAGAGCTGTTTTTTTTTTGTGGAACAGATCGAGATAAATTGCATGAAAGTAAGTATGAGAGAGCAAGCAAAAAAAATATCCTGCTCAAAATCTGAGCTCGAATGGTATTTAGTACGGCAATTCCACGAATGCATAATCAAAATAAAATATGGAAATACTTTTTAAAATGAACAGTTATTGAAGGTTCAATTAGAATAAATATTTTGCCCCTTAAAATTTGACTCTACAGAAAGAGAAGAAGACTCTGTGTTCTCAGGAATTGAATTTTCTATTTCGCTATAAATTCATCTTTAATTGTCCCAAATCGCTGCATGTTGAAAATATTTTTAATTTTATTTAAAAATACACTTTTAATAAGCTAAAATGATAGAACTTGTGAATTTTTGTGACAATTATTTGACAGATGATTCAAAAACCAATTTTATTTACGACTAATGTATAATGTGCATATTATATTTGTGATTTTGGCAGTATAATGACATATGTTATTCCTCCAGGGATTAATGACGAGTAGCGGGATTAATGGTCATTATTCCACAAAAGTGTCATTGTCAAACGTGTAGTGCTTGTGGATTTGTATTGAAAATTATGAGACGGATGAAATTTGTTCATTGAAAATCTCAAATAAATTAATTTGTCGTAAATAAAGTAGAGTATCATTATTGACTCGTGGTATAATCTACTATTATATGCAATTGTTACTACGGTAACGATTGCATCAACAGAAAATTTATCCGATTTTTTTATCCAGTTATATTTTCTCTTCCTTCCTATATTTATCCGCTAGCAAACTACGGTTTTTGACATTTCAAATGGGATTATTTATACATGAGTGAAATTGCCGGTGTAATACACTCTAGTAAAATAGTCAAACAAATTGTCCGTGTGACTTTTTTATTTTACAAAAAGCTATTTCGCACACTAGGGTGCGAAATAGCTAGTTCGCACACTGGTGTCATGGGAACGTTAAAAAATCAATACCTGGGAAAAAAGTGTCACTTCGCAAACTGTCATGAGTGTGCAAACATCATCATTTTTTGACAGTTGTAGAAGAAACTATTTTATTAAGTACCACTACCACTATTTTTCGAGATGAACTTATTCGCAGCAGCACCGGCGCCGACGCAGCATTAATTTATGTAGGTAACTACTAGTAACTACCTAATTATGTGGTTGTGAACAATAACGTTAGGCAAAACACAGAGGTCATCGTACTATAACAACCCATTTATAAGAAAAATAAAAACATCCTAGAGAATTATCTTTAGCAGATTCCAACCTCCCAAATGGTTGCAGCACTATTAACCATCTGCAAAGTATATGCTCGCTTATCGAAAAAACTCGAAATACAATGTTCCCCTACAACTATCTGGATTATTTATCGATTATCGGGAGGAATTTGACTTCGTTGAAACGTGGGCAGTCCTCAAGGCATTGGGTAACGCAAGAATCGATCCCAGAGATTCAACCCTCATAACATATATTTACGATACGGCAACAATGACAATTACATCTCTTACAAAATTCAATTCGACGTAAAATACGATAAAAAGACGCGAGTCGCGAGTTCTCCAAAGCTATTCACGCTGGCCCTGAAAGTTGCCTTCCAAAATGCAAACTGATAGCATGAGGAAGTAAATATTTTTGGAGCAAGGCGGGAAATGGATTTTTCCGCACGGCTGTAGGAAATAGTTATTTTCCTAACAAGTGCGCAAAGTGTTACTTTTCCGCACGCAAACACAGTTATACGAACGACGCGAAGCGGAGTTCGGATACGTGTTTGCGTGCGGAAAAGACACTTTGCGCACGTGTTAGGAACAAAATTTTTCCTTCGAGCTTCATATCAGGTAGGTAATAACAAAAATTAAAAAAAAAAACGATAATTTGTTTAATTATTTTTAATTAACTTGAAGGGAACCTATGCATTTATCAAAAAATTACATAACAAAAAAAAATAACAGAAAATCCTCGTCAGAGCTGTTCATCTTAAAGCGTTTAAATTTGATGAGAAAATGTGTAGATTTTTGCATATAAATAGAGAACAAATCTGACAATGTGTCAAAGTTAATTTATTTTTGGTGTTTGTATAGATGTTGGCTGATATAGAAACAGAGGAAAAATTTGTCATCATGTGTCAAAGTCGACAGGTGCACTTATTGTTGTTTGACAATTATAATTACTTTTCGGCACTCAGTGCGGATAAGGCCTGTATCCGCACTGAGTGCGGAAAAGTGTAACTTTGAGCCCGGAAATACGTGCGGAAAAGTACTACTTTGCGCACGCTCGTAGGAAAAATTACTTTCCGCAAGTGTTAGGAACACAATTTTTCCTACGAGCAGACAATGAAAAACAAATATGAATCTATATTGAACAATTAAAAATATTATTTATTTATTATGGACAACTTTAATGGTGAATGTACAATTTTCATCAGATTGTAAATTTATCGCTGATGCAAATTGACGGTTTTAAGCACATGATGGTATTGACCATCAAATTCCTCCCCAAAGTTTCTACTGTCTACTATTGGTGATTACTTCTAAGATAACGGGTCTTCAAAAAAAAAACAATCAAAGACTGCTATGGTATTTGAAAGGTATGTCTTAACAATATTTTTCTTCAATTTTGTCAATGAACGTTAATGTCAAAATGTCATGTCACAAATCGTGACCAATAAAGGAACAATAATGCGACTTACCTATGTTCCAAAAACCATAGCATTGTTTTTTTTTTTTTTGAAGACTTGGTAGAAGCTGCAACATTTCTTTAACCTTTGCTTTTGCTAAATTTACAATATGCTGAAAATTGTACATTCACCATTCACCATTGTTTGCATATCGTGCGTATTTTTTCATTCAGGACGGGACGGCGTGCGAAAAAATTACTCTTTCCGCAGGCCAATGCGTGCGGAAAAAGAGCTTTTTCCGCACGCTTGTAGGAAAATTATTATTCTTAAAAAGAAGTTTTATTTATTATGAATGAAATTATGTTGAAATCTAGCTAATAATTTTCAAGTATGCGCCCACTGCCGGCGCCCATGGTCAGGAATTATGTCTCAGATAGACAGTTCCAATTCAGAGTTGCTGACTCTCTTTCCGAGCCACACCCAGTGCTGAGCGGAGTGCCGCAGGGCTCAGTGCTTGCACCACTGCTCTTTGTGTGTACTCGCTGGATCTACTAGACTTCATAAAATCCTCGTGCGCTAGTTATGCTGATGACATAAAGATCTACAGTCCTGTCCATGACTCAGCCGCTCTCCAAGAAGACCTTTACCTGATTTATGAGTGGAGTGAGGACTGGAAACTTTCCCTAAATGTGGGCAAGTATGTCGTATTGCAACTTGGAAAAAACAATCCACAAACAGATTCATTAATGGAATTGCGTTGTCCAGTGTTCAGCAGCATAACGATCTTGGCATTCTGGTATCTAGTGATATTTTCTGTTCTCTTCATATCACGGACATTTGCAGTCGAGCAAACAGCAAACCATTTCTGTTAAAAAAGGTATTCTCCAACATACCCCAGGAAGAATTCACCAAACTGCTTATTGTCTACTGCAGACCAATACTTAAATATGCAGGTCAGGTGTGGAACCTTGTTCTGATAAGAGATAAGAACAGCCTAGAAGCTATGCAAGGAAAAGCCACGCGGTTGCAGCTTGGCACGAGAAGACCATCCTATCAAGAAAGGCAAACAGGACAAGGACCAATTAGTGTTTACGATAGACGAACCAGAAATCTCATTTTTACCTATCGAGCTCTTCACAACCAAACACAGTATATTTGCTTACACCCTCAATACCGACCAACGTGGAACTTAAAAAGGAGAACTAAAGCGTTGTCTGTCGGGAGAAATTTTTGCCAAACTAAGTGTTCACTCACTGGAACCAACTACCATTCGCTACTGTCAATGCTTCAGTGGGACTTATAAGTTTTACCTCGGCCCGTATTGATTTCATAAAAATAATATTAATAATAATAAAAAGCTTATGATGAATGTACTTCCGGTACATATTATGGCCTAGAAGCCATGGTTTTAACACAAAAATCTCTACATGATCTCAAAATAATAGGCAATCGAGAGAATCATGCGCAGTGACAAGTAAAAACATGGAGTATAAAATGAGCTGAAATAAAACAAAAAAAGGCAGAGTCGCTGTGGGCTGGCCATATAGCACGACGAAGAAAAATCGACAGACCGCCGTTAACAGAATAATTTGGAAGAGTAGGAGGAAAAGGCCTACTATACAGGAGCGGATGCATGCCATTCTATATGAGAAAAAGAAGGTTACTATTAAAATTAGAGCATGAAGGCATTCAAGGAAAATTGTTGGCATGGTCGGATGTTCACCTAATAAACTGCACATTTCAAGTGAGATTTTATGCTTATTTCGTGTCGTCAGTGGTATTTAGTTTTGGGCGATAACTCTCTTTAACTTACACATTATTGATCCACCATCAAACAGACTATGCAGAACCATTCTATAAGGTGGACAGAAAAACGACACACAAACAGACGTAACAGAATCAGAAATGTGGATCACGAATTGTCATATGAAACTCAACTTGGACAATTGAAAAATTCTGTGCATCCTCTTTGACCATAGATTTAAAGGGTGAACGTAACATACCTAGTTTAAATAATGAAAATATTCTTAACAGCAAACTCTATGAATTATCCTACAAGGCGGGCCTTTGCATACATGACTGAAACATTTTGCATACAAATTCATGGCACCTACGCTTTCTGAGCCCGCAGTGTTCGCTTCAATCGGGTTGTGGATAACAGGAAAAACTCACAACAGAAAATGTGTCCCAACCAACCGTCAGGTGCTCAAAAAATAGAGTAAGTAGATAGAAACTGGTACCCCCTGTTGCAAACAACACAATATTTTGAATTGGGAAGGAAGAAGGGACTATGAGAATTCAACTAATCTTACAGTTTATGAACATCTCCAATGTCTCTTTTATTGTTCCCATGCATCAACATGATGTTCCCCAGAGTGAAAGGAAAGCCCACAAAAGTTTGCGACTCCTTCGCAGAAGTTACTTACAGTGAACAGTCCAAAAGCCCATCTATTTACGACACTCACTTGAACCTCTTCCAGAGGTAAAGGGTAAAGCCTTTTAGATAGATACTGGACGGATTGTAAAGTTGTGTTTCGTGTGTAGCAGGAAGGTAGAGGTACTGATCGTAGAGCCTTTCTACAAATTTTGCTGTTGTCTTGAAAAATAATGAACACTTAACCATAATAAAAAATTTATTCAAAGTATTTGAAAATTATGAAAAAATCCTAAAATAGGTCCAAAGTTCGTCACTTGAAGCCGTGGCTAACTTCACGTCTATGATTGAACTTCGCCAAAAACCATTCAATAACCATAATCTATTCTTGCGCAGGTCATTAAATTTTCCAGAATAATAGACACAACCGTATAATTCCTATATTCTTGAACGAATTAAAACAAACTTAATAATCGCATAATTTCTAGCCTCATCGGATAAGCGTAAGGTCAGTAACAGCCAATCGTCGGACGTCGCGCGACGCAGCTTGCACAATGATCATCGGTCGCGACACTCACCAATTAGGCCCTAGCGCTGTACGTGCCTCAAACATAACCTCGACGTCGGCCGTTATCAGTTGGCTGCCGGCAAATTCTAACCATCAACACGTCGTCTGCGTTAATAACGTGGAAGTTAGGACTGTTAAGCCAGGCGTTTACAGGCACACTATAACTGGTCTGGCAGCCAACACACAATATCGAGTTACAGTCAGAGCGAAACATCATCGTTCTGCCCAGAACGTAGCCAATTTAGCCGAAGAACTACCGATGCCCGCTGCTGCTCATACGGATTTTAGGACGCTTCCGAAGGGACTGCCTGATCCTCCCAGTGATATTTTAGTTGAGCCAGGTAAGAATCATATACTGTCTTATTTATAGTGGACTGCAGCAACCAATTCTCCTTCTATAAAAATCACCATGACCCTGATGGAAAAATCAAAAACTTGGTTTTGAGTCCATGAAAGCGATTGCTGGAATCAATCACACGAACGATTAATAAAATATTTATATTTTCAGGGCCTCAAGATGGAACTTTACTAGTGACTTGGCATCCCATATTAACACCACACCATCCAGGCTCCTCTATTACTGGCTATGCAGTGTTTGCTGATGGAAAAAAAGTGACTGATGTTGATAGTCCTACAGGTAACTAGGTTAATATATCATTCGAAAATAACACTAAAGAGTTGTAAATAATGCACTTGATATGGTTAGACTAGGTAACTTTATTTGGATGGGAGAAATGGGTACTAGATAGGTACTACTTTCTATTGCACTCCAAAGATAATATTATTTTGCTCTACTTTCTTGTTTGCTGATGAGAGGTACATTGAAAATCTTGGAAAACCAATATATCAAATTATCAACAGTAATAGTTTAGTAGTGATATGCTTGAGCTAAATGGTTTAAATATTTCTAGGTGATCATGCTCTAATAGATATCTCCAAGTTATTGGGGCTCAATCCTCGTCACGTGACGGTGCGCACTAAAGCACGAGACAGCCAATCAGCTGACAGTGTACCTACTCCTATTCCTGCAAGTGTTCTGCGCGGCGGATCAGGAAGGAGGCAGCAGCCGCACAGTGCTGTGATGCCTGCACATCTCCGACAGCAGATGCCGAGGAATCAGCAGCAAGGACCAGGACAGCAGGTTAGAATTTGTCTCCTATTTTTCATGATATGTCAAATTAAAGTCGATCGCATTCTCTTTACCTGAAACCGATTGATATGTATTATAATTTGTCTTGTCTAAAATGTCTATTCCGCCTTATCAATTATCAGAGATAAACAACATGATTTGCTCATTTTCACCATGAAGTTGATGTAATCAATAAGTGGGAAATTTCCCTATTCAGTCTAGCCCGGATATTCGAGAGTAAAAAATATTTGAATATCTAGGAATTCACATTATCATTATCAGAAAATGTTCATCATACTCGTCAAGATTCTGAAAAAAAATATGCATGTATATCGAAATGTATACGTATTGAAACGTGGAAACTAGAAGGCAGTCTGAAATCACGGAAATTGAAATCCTCATTATCACTGTGGCAATCAAGCTAAAGTTTAGAAAAGACAAATCAGCATAAAATCATACAGTGCGGCCGTAAAGTAAGGAATAAATTCAATAATTATTCTTCCAAGCAATTTTTTTTTAAATTCTCGAACACCTTCATTTTATTTTTTGTCGAGCATTTTTTAGAAAATAAAATTATTATACAGGGTGGTCGCAGAAAAGCTGGACAGGTAGTAACTTAATTTTTTTAGATAGACTTCCCTAATTTTCTAATGACCCGCTGCGTTGCCAGCTTGAAAATACATTTTGAAATAATACACTTTTTTTCAAATTTTATTGTTGATTTTCTATTTAATTTTTTATTTTTTTTCCGATACCAGCGTCGCTTGCCGCAGTGAGTTCAGTGACGCATTTTAAGCACTCCAGAGCTGTTCTAGAGCGCCCCGGGTTGTTTATAGGCGCCCTAAGTGAACCACACTGTGTTCGATTGAGGCTGGATCAGTGCACTCTCATCAACAAAAAAATGATCTAGATCAAAAGAAGTTCACTTAAATTGAACCCAAATCGATCTAATCTGGGTCAATCGAATTCAGCTTATATAGAGATACGTGGTATTAAAATTTTATGGTATCAAATTCAAGATCGGTCCAGCCGTTCTCGAATTCAAAAAATAATAAAGCTACGTCGGTTGAATGGCAAGCCTTTCATACTGTCAAAAAAAAAGTTGGGTTATGTTGTTATGTAATTTGAATGAGTTTGTTTACGATTAAATTATTAATTAATTCAAAATTAATTTCTTTTTCCGAGATGCGTAACCTATCCACAAACCTTCCTTAGGATGGCCATAACAATCTACCAAAGTTTCATCGTAATCGGATAAGTGGTGTAGGAGCGCATACCCGGATACCCCGTGAACTTTGATTTTTATATATATAGATACCTAAATTCAACTGTTTCGGAAATATTGACAGTTGACAATTGACTTTTTTGCAACTTTGAGAGGCTGTAAAACCTTAACGGTTAATTTTAGAGGAAAACCGATTTCACTTTCCCATCTTAGATTTTCATAAGCTATCATTTGACACCAACCTTGAATTTAATCCATGATTAAAAATTCCAATTAAATTTAATCTCGTATTGAATTCAAAGTTGGTGTCAAATGATAGTTTATGAAAATAGGAATGTAAAATCGGTTTTCCTCTAAAATTAACCGTTTATAGGTTTTACAGCCTCTCAAAGTTGCAAAAAAGTCAATTGTCAACTGTCAATATTTCCGAAACAGTTTAATTTAGGTATAGGACATGTTTCATGAAAAATACTTAGAATTTTATCAGAAATCCAAAAATGTAAAAAAAATTAGGGGAGTCTATTTAAAAAAATTAAGTTACTACCTGTCCAGCTTTGCTGCGACCATACCCTGTATAATAATTTTATTTTCTAAAAAATGCTCAACAAAAAATAAAATTGACGTGTACGAGGATTTTTAAAAAAATTGCTTACAAGAATAATTTTTGAATTTACTCCTTACTTTACGGCCGCACTGTAGAAATGACTTCAAAATACAGGGTCTTAATACAAATTATTCTGTTACTTTGGGCCATAGACTATAAAAAATAAAAAGACCTTCAAAAGTGTAGCCGAAATAGGTTATACTATTACTGCGCATCCGGTTGCGCATAGCGCATTGCGGCATTTTTGGAAAGCTAGAGACTTACGAAAGATCAGTCCGATCATTCGATTCGGTTTCATCTTTCTCTATCATACCAGTTCACAAGACAAGGACACCGTATGAGTTACAGAGCTTCCCTAGCTGTTTTGTAGAAACCTATCAAACATCCATAACTAAAGAAACTGTGACCGAGAAAACAAATAAGTAACCTTAAAATAACGACATTTCCGTGTTGAAATTTGTCATTTTTAACCGATTGGGCGGTCGTCTAAAAAGACTCGAACTCTCAAAATCTAGAGAACAAAAAGAAGAAATTGTCATTTTTATTAAGGCACTCGGTATCGCGTAACTATAATATTATGTACAACTAGGATAAACTGAACCAGTAAGTATACATGTTAGTTTTGTGATATACGGCATATTTTTTTACTGTTTTAGGAGACCTCAGTCAGAAGAGATAAAATGTAATAGATGTTAGGCCTTGGCTAGCTTAGCTTGTACAGTGTGGTCATTTTATCTTGATAACATTTCAAACTGTCATAATTTCTATATTTTTAAAGTTATTTAAATAAATAAAAAAACATACTGTAAGGTTAATTTCCAAGTTTTAGATAGGGTGGACAAAAAACAGAAGACTAATATATTTTGACAGTTATGCACGCAAATAGCATTTTTTGAATGGAACACCCAGTAAATTTTTAAATTGTTTGATAATATGTCTCATTCTGATTGTAATAATATACAATACAATACACTTGAATACAATTTACTCTATAGTTACACGCAGTAATGTTTTATTGATTTGAATGAAAAATTCTGTATACCTACCTACCTTTGCAGGTAATTTGTGTAGGTAATCAATATTTTAAGTTAGAATAAATAGAAAATTTCTGCACATAAATGTAAAGTGAATTGTATTCAATTGTATTGTATTGTATATATTGCAATCAGAATGAAACATATTATCAAACAAACTTGAAATTTACTGGGTGTTCCATTTAAAAAAAATGCTACTTGTGTGCAAAACTGTCAAAATATATTAGTCTCTTGTTTTTTGGCCATCCTATCTAAAACTTGGAAAATAACCATACAGTATGTTTTTTTATTTATTTAAATAACTTTAAAAATAAAGAAATTATGACAGTTTAAAATGTTATCAAGATAAAATGACCACACAGTACATACATTAAAGCATGTATAAGGGATGTAATAACTGTGTTTGTAAACTCTTTAGGTATTTGACCCATCTACCTATAATATATATTTTTTCTAGTACAATTTAGTGTTTATTTCGCCTTTTTTTTAATCTACATCAAAAAATGGCACAAAACTTTATGGAGTACCACATCATTTTTCTCATTCGGATATGAGAAAAAAACGATGTGGAACAACATAAGTAAGTTTTTTGTGCGATCAACTCAAGTCAAATTTCAAAATTCCCGCCATTTCAGTATTTGTTCCGGCTGCCACTAGTGTCGCAACCGTCGCTGTGACGTCAGCGCTATACAAACTTTCATGTTATCAATCAGGTACTCTTACCTTGATTTATTATATTTCTCTATGCTTTGGGCTTGACAAAATCAGTAATTTATGGACGTGTAGAACTTGATTGAAGCTATTGCTTTTCACTTATTATGGCGTAGCCACAGAACACATATCCTCACGGATAGAAAAAAAAGCATGGAGGGCGGGGCCTAAAAAAAAAGCTTCGGATCGCATCCGCTTGGGGACGCTGGAGTGAAATAGAACTACAGGTGCGGAATGAACGCCACCAGAAAATATGTCACAGTTTACTTTGGCAGTTTACCTCACAGGTTTACCTGTTACCTATGTTTAAAAAAAATATGTCAAAATAGTTCTGAATAAGAATTCGTCTTGGTGTTAGTGTGCATTTTAAATCCAGATAAATAATTCTTAAATTCATAAAAAAAAAAAAAATCAGAATTTACACAAAACACGAGAAGTTTGGCCGTTTTTGTTCTACTCGGAAGAAAAGTCCATCAATATTCAATAATGAGGAAAAAGGTTTGTTTGGAATTCAATTCAAAATCAGTTCTAAATTGGACTGCGCTTGCGCATTTGGTCATATCAAACCTATACAAAGAAATGCGAAAGCGTAGTTCAATTCTAAACTGAAGTCCGAACAAATCTAATATTGAAAATATGGACATTGGGAGAACTATTTTGAAAGCTGATTTGATTACAGCAACCTTATTATAAATAGTTCGGATCGCATCCGCCGCGCCGTGACGGCGCATTGTTCCCCAAAATTTTATTAGGCAGTTTGCCTTCTATCCGTGAAGATATGTATTCTGTGGGCGTTGCATTATCAATAGAAATTTGACAGGTTGACCCTCGTATAATAATGACATTTGATGACAAAATATTTTTCAAATTTCAGGGTTATGAAACAGAAAGCCGAGTTGAATGTGTAAAATATCTGAGTAAACTCAAATAGTAAAATTATTCAATTTATTAATTAAACGTAATAGACCGTGAGATAGGGCCTGTTTAGTGGAATAATTTTTTTTTGTCTGGCATTTTGAGGGATGAATGTGGCTAGTTAGCTGATGAGAATATAGGTGGTTTTAGTGCTTGCCACTTGTTCGAAATGTCCACAGAATGTTTCGCCGGAAAACTCGACTTCGAACTGGGATTACCGTCTGGCGATTTTTCAGCGATATTTTCACAACAAAACCTTTCATTGTCTCGATTACCAGACAAAAAGTAAACGCGGAAGGTTCTTTTCTTTTCTCTTGGAAGTTGACACTCATCCCCACATTTTCAGCTATTGAAAAGCATCTGGTATTTTTTATGGGTGAATTATTTATCAATGTCAATCTTTTATTTAGAAGCCAAAAAATTTGAGATCATTAAAAAATAATTCCACATGTAAATCAATTTCTTTCTTCTGCAAATTTTCGAACGGGAGGCAGGCATTAAAACCACCCATATTCTCATCAGCTTAGTAGCCACATTCAGCCCTCAAAATGCCAGACAAAAAAAAATGACTCCACTAAACAGGCCCTATCTCACAGTCTATAACCATAACAGTAAGCTCAATAGCATAAATATGTTTTTGCAGTAACTTTTTTTCCGGGTTTGGTCCAACGGCATTTCTTCCATTTTTATTTTTTTATTTCTTCTTCTTCTGGACGTGCCTATCCCTTATGAATGTCGGTGATCATCGATTATTATGGCGATGTCCACTTAATTCGCAGCAATATGGAAGAGTTGTGGCAAGCTTTTATCAAACAATGTTCTGAGATGTTTCCGTCACGATATTCTTCTTCTTCCTGGTCCTCTCTTTCCAAATATCTTCCCTTGCAGGATCGATTGTAACAAAACCTTATCTTTTTGAAAGGGTTTGGAGGGTGGGTAAGATCTCGACAATTTTTACATAAGGCCATTTTTTGAGAAAGTGTTAATATACTTAAGCCTACATTTTCAGTTAGATAACCTCAACTATAGGTTACCCCCATGCCATTTTAATAGGATTATATTGGCAATGATAAGGAGGTAATCTAAGAACTTCGTGTCCATGGCTTTTCAAAATGTCAATTTTGTAATGTTTTGGTCTATTGCGAAATGGTTGAGTTAGGTCTCATAGTTGTTTTTTGGTCATTTTTGTGTCGAAGTCTACGTTATGTTTAACCAACCATTCCTGCATTTTGTCTTTCTTTGAAGAGAATGAAGGTGGTTTATCTTTCCGCTCTGAATGATATGGAGCGTTGTCCATGATTATTACACATTTCTCTTCAAATATATTCAATGCAGAAATTAGTTGATCAACGACGGAAGATGTCCGCGTTCATGGTATTGTGGTAGTCTCTGTCATTGTTTCTTGAATCTAGAAAAAAATCGCACCCATCTAAAAACCCAGAACTACTCTCCGCATGCAAAATAGTAAAACGATTCCCCTCTGACTTAATTTTGGATGGGTTGCTTTTCATATCAGATTCGTGTATCCATCGACAAACTTGAGATCCATTTTGGTAGATCCAAGTTTCATCTAAATACACGAATCTGATATTTTTCGTTTGAATGTTTATATTGGAGGTATTTCCGCAAAAATGTAATTTTGGCAGCAAGAACATGTTTCTGCTCACATAAAATGTTGCGTCCATTTATTGCTTTAAATGTATATCCCATAGATTTTAAAATTTTATATAAACTTGTTTGCCCTCCCTTAAATTCTAAATTTTCTTTTGCGTATGTCAGTAATGTTTGTAATGTAAAATATTCATTTTTAGAATTGTATTTCCAAATTTGTCGATGTAAATCTTCTTTAAACATTCGGTCCATAATAGTCTCTGTCTTTTTCGGTCGGCCTAAAGGTTTTTTGATTGTATATTGTCCAGTCAAAATTCTTTGAATAGTTCTGGTTCCCACCTAAAATTTAAGGAAAATGTTGGTTGGGTAAGAAATGGCTTCACATCTACATTTAAGTTATACCTTTGGTTATACCTACCTCAAATATATCTGCAAGTTGGGCTTCAATTATTCCCTGGAATTTTATTTGTGACCATTACAGTTTTCGAAAAATCTTGATACCTACTAGGATATGATGGATTGAAACATGCATCGACACACAAAGCAAGCTTCTCTTTGCATACAGGGCATCAATAACGGGGTTTTCCACGTTTTTTCTACGCTTCGCTTCTACGAGATAACTCCTATTATGTAGGTTTTTTATTTAAGGACGCCCAAATACGAGAGAGTTCGATTATGGGTTTTTGCAAAAAAAACAAGTGAGAGGAAAGATAATCTTGATCAAAAATCTACAAAGGAAAATCACTCGGATATAATGGGTTTCTAGGGCTAAATTCTTATATCAGGCTCGGCAGTCAACGTGTTGAATGTAAATTTTATCAATCATATTCAATAATCTGAGCTGAAGTCAAGGTTGGATAATATGTTCTAAATCATTATTATTAAAATTATTGAGTAAGTACAGTTGGCCAAACATAAAACTGGTACGCATTTTCCTATTGCGCTGTATTGTGTAAATCGACCTTTTTTATCACCTCAACAATGACAATAAAAGTCAAGTCAGTGTCATATTTAAACCAATCATAACATAAAAATATGTTGCATTTACTTTTGTTCAGCTTTGACATTGACAAAAACTGTCTAGCCTATGTTTTTCAGAAGACACTTTTTGTTGTTAAGCCTGACTCACACTAGGCAAATTTTAAATATATATTTTGCCTGTACCAGTTTTATATTTGGCCAAGTGTACCCACATCGTCAAAAATTGATCAATTTTCCACCTGGCTTCTATAACTTATATACTTGAGGATTTCTGTTATATCTCCTTCAACGTTTAACCTTTAATTTCATACGGTTTTAATTTGATTTTTGAGATTTTATTTTTCTGGAAGCACCTGACCATATTTATGCATATAATTTTTAGCCATTCATTTATTTTTTAAATTAATTTTCTGGATACTTAAATCATTCATATTTTCATTTCAAGTTAATGATATGGGCAGCGACTGTTGAGTTAAATTATGTGATATTAGTGTCATTACTGTCGCTTAGATTTGATTCAACTAAAGTGTATATTGTGATATATTTTTTTTAGTTTGAAGAATTCAATTCAGGGTTAAACCTCTAACCATTGATTTATTATTCACTGCCTAACTTTTTTCTTTATTTTCCAAACTGTGAATTGAATTTGATATCACCGTAGAAATATATAGATACTAATTTAATTTGAAAATTACTTGATTGTTTTATTGGTTTACCTGTGTCAAGATTTGGTTGAGTTGTATCCCTTATTTATTTCCTTCAGAATTATCAATCACCTTTTGCTAATTATTTTTTTTAGGTGTGTTTCTGAATTTTCACACTTCAATATTTTACGTAATTCACTTATTTATGTTTACAAATTCAGTGGCTCCTTTACCATTTTTACTTATTTAACTATTGACACACCCTTAATAATTATTCGCTGAGCAAACGTTTATAGGCCTCTTGTTAATTCGTTAACAAAAGGGTTACAAATCTGAATAGGAATGAGTTGAAAATTCAAGGAGAGAGAAATATCTTCAATAGATAAACTCATGAGACTTGGATTGTTGTTTAATAATAATAAATCCGCTCGCCAACAACTACCATCGTTAACAGTGAAACTGGGATCAGGCGCAACACCAACTACAAAAACCACTATGCACTGGGGAGGGTATGCCTCTGTTTTTCAAGCAGAGGTATATGCTATACTCTGGTGCGCAGTACGCAGCGGAGAACAACATGAGACCCGTAAACGACAGGCAGAGGGAGATGCTTTCAATATCTGAGAGTCATGCGGCACTGAAGGCTTTTTCGAGTCAGAGCGTGTCATCAAGACTAGTATGGAAATGCCAAAAAGATCTCAGGATCCTGGCGGACCAGAATGAAGTGAAAGTTATCTGAGTACCAGGAGGAATCGAAAATAATGGAAAAGCTGACGAACTCGCAAAGAGAGATTCAGAGACAAAACTTATCGGCGCAGAGCCGGCTTTGAAGCTACCAAAAAGTATGAAGCCATATCCGAGACTGGATTCGTAAAGAACACAGACACTACTGACCAAATGCCAAACAAAATCATGGTAAGGAATTCATGAACCATCCATGCAGCAAAAGAGCGACAGATCTGCTATAAATAAAGAGAACTAAGAAACTAAGAAACATAACCGACCCTACGACTGGCCATATACTGGCCATGTATATGCACACCAGTAAAAGTACACCTGAACAGTATGAACCTGTATGACGGAGACCTAAACTGTGGGTTCTGCAATAAGGAACCCGGAGCAGCCAGACACATCCTGGTTAACTTCGAGGCACTGATTCGCAGAAGAAACAGCATCTTTGGGAAACCAATAGACTAAACACCGCCACCCCAAAGACGTGAGCCATATAGGCACAGTATAAACATTTCAGGCTTCAGTGCTCGTGCTCTGAAAATTTGGTCGTTCTGTGTGCTGTTTAGACGCGGTGATTCAATCAGGGAGTTCGCAGTTAGGTGTGGATGTGATGTAATATTACTTATCTTTATTTTGTTTTAACCGAGGTCTCAACATTATAAATTATCATGAATTTTGAGGAGCTGTCAAATAAACTTTTCCTTTCGACTTTCAGTTTTGAACAATTTGTGAAGGAAACTTATCATATATTTTTTTTTTTTCAGATAATTGAGCCAGACGAAAATCTAAGCGATAAAGAAATATTTCCAAACTCCCAATCGCATAGACAACAACAGAGCGGTATCCCTTCAATAGGTAACGTAAAAAGCATGAATTCATAATTTTAATTCATAATTTTTATGAAATTAATACCTAATCTATTTTGGCATGAGTAATGGGTTAGTAGATAGTGTATTTTTTGGTAAAAGCGCTTTTTAGACAGTGAAAGTAGATTGCTACGTGTGGTGCCGTAATCAGAAAATTAATTCAAAGATATAGCTAATCCATACAACTACAGCAAATACAATACATACCTATGATACCTATTAGAATAGTCTTAAGAAATTTTCATCGTGCTTCTGCTTTAAATGCTTTATATTGTTTAAATAATTGTTATAAAAATATGTTTGATAAAAATGGTCTCTAATCTAATACCATGCACAATGGCGAGTAAGCGGCGCAATAAGAAAATACTGTTATTTTCTCGTCATATTATGGTTTTTATGGTGCCGATGACTCGTTATTGTGTCCGGTATTAAATGGCTCGAACTTGGAGTATAAGTACAAAAAAAAATCATTTCTTCAGACTATATTCGAAAAACAAAAAACGATTTATGTAGTCAATAACTTTGCGTCTCTCAAATACAGTTATGGTACACTTATTGGCTCTCTGTTTAGTATTGAATTCATGTCATGGATGAACAAAATTTTTCCTAAACGAATAGGATTTATTACAATGTTTCAGTAAAAAATTGCAGAAAAGACGAGTCCAAAAAAAAATGCTTCCCAACTTTTAATAATTTGGTCTTTAATTATTTTCACTGTTATATTTTCAGTCGCTTCTTGCCGATTTCCTACATAAGTCGTCTTAAAAAAAAAATTAATACCAACAACATAAACTCTAATGAAACAAGTAAGATTTTGTATTTTTTGAACGTATTAAACTAGTTTTTGAAAATTAGACTCTTGGTGTCGAAACTGCCAAATTTACTAACCGCTTAGGCCAAAAATTTTTCTCTTTCCCTCCCGAACAACGAATCTTTAGCACCCCGATCGCTTACAGAAATAACCAAAGAAAATTACGAAAGCAACATGTCGGAAGATGATTTGGATTCGAGAAATAGACGGTTCAATAGGAACCAACCTAGGCAAGGTCAGAATACTAGCGGACAGCAGCAACAAAACATGGCTGGTGGTAGTGGACAAGGACAACAATATTATTCACAACAACAACAACAAGGTTTGTACAAGACAGGGATAATGATTGAATAACTTTTCATCTAGACACACAATGATAAATTTTAAATTTGTATCTCATTGAGTTCAATCTTTGCATTTTTTTCTTCTTCGTACAAATGGCCAAAAGGTACCTCTATAGATTTTAAACGGAATAAAATTTCTGTAATACAAACAGGGATATGACATTGTTTCGAAAGCATGTTCAAAGTCCGTAAATGGTCATCAGTTATCCAAATTATAACTTAGTGCCCATTCTCTAAAATGTAATTTTTATACTTTTGAAAATATCGAAATTAAAATCCAAAGTAGGTAAACCAAATTACACGCAGATATTCTTCAACACACATAACACAAGGTACGTACCTACCATAAGAGCACGCACTTGAACACTCCTTTAGTACCCATCATAGTACCCCACAATAATTAAACTTGATTAGATAATATAGCAATAATATATGTAATTTTGACTAAGAAACATAAATAGAAAATAGCCTTAATTCATAGTCTAGAAATGTGTACCTCCTATTATTTCACAACTACCTTCCAATAAAACTCTGAATACCAATTTCCAGTTGTTCCTAACCAACGCCAAAACCAAATGATGCGTAACCAACAACCGGGCATGCGTCCGTCACCAAACAACCCCCAAAAGAAAACAAGAGACCAAAATTCCATACCAAAATATTTTGTCGCTCTATTTGACTACGATCCGGCAACAATGTCACCAAATCCGGACGCTTGCGACGAAGAACTGCCATTTTCGGAAGGCGACACCATCAAAGTGTGGGGCGAAAAGGACGCTGATGGATTTTACTGGGGCGAATGTAGAGGTAGAAGAGGCTTTGTGCCGCATAACATGGTTATGGAACTGGATAGTAATCACAGCAATCAAGCGATACAACAGCATGGTAATATGGGTAATCAGCATGGTAATCAAGCGCTTAACACGCCGGTTAGGCGGATGGTAGCTTTGTACGATTACGATCCGCAAGAGTTGAGCCCAAATGTTGATGCGGAAGTAAGTATATATAAAATTCGGTGCGTTGTTGCAAATAATGCTAAACTTAAGTGAGCGGTTACATTGGATTCGGATCTATGCAATTTTATGTTCTTATGACATCGTGTTTTTACATTCTTTGCTATTTATTGCGTGCAAAGTTTAACATAAATTACGAAGTAAGAGTAAAATGCAATATGATCTTCAATTAGTTAAGGGGGCAGCCATAAAAGTTTTATGAATTCTTTTGATCTCCTAATGGTTTTCCTGGATTAAACACACAGTCCATTTTCGTGAAACTTTTGAAAAATGTAGGTACAATCATAGGCGACTTAGCTTAAGTTATGCCATGAGTCGATTATGTATATATCCTGTCCACAATCCGATGTCCACAGGTGCAGGTAAATTTATCACATTTCCCTATCAAATAGCATTGAAAGGTGATTTTACCTGTACCTACCTGTGGACATCGGATTGTGAACTAATACCTATGGGAGAATACATTAGAAAGAATCAAAATGTACAGGGTGGGCCAAATTGGACACTTTCTTATAGAAACACCCTTTATTTTTAGAGATAGAAAAAAATAGACCCCCCTCTCTGAGGCTCAAATTTCATGAAATCTTGATTGGTGCAAACCGCATTTTGATATCTTCAACCATTTAGCCGCTAGACGGCGATTCTCGATTTTGAGCAATACTGTAAAACCTCCATATCTTTTTTGTTTATAAAAATAATTCATTTTCGTAAAGACCTTTTCGAAGCACTTTTCCTAGCAGAATTCAGTGACGTTCTCAGTTTTTTTCTGTCTGGCTTCAATTTCGAGATATTGACCCAAATTCGATTTTTTTCAATAGGAGACCCTATATATTAATCGTTCATTAGAAAGCTATGCTTTCGCTGATTTCAATGATATAAAGTTCGATAGGTTTATCTCTAACAGTTTTCGAGAAAAAAAAATATTACGGTTTTTGTCATAAGAAACAATATGTTGGAAAAGAACTTTATCCTTAGAGCAGGTAAAGGTAAAGGAGTAGTAACCTGGATTTGGAAAATGAAGCCGTTTTTTTCCAGGTATTTTGGCCCACAAAAAATGGCGGTTATGGCAATTCAATGCTCTACCTGTATTTTGGTGCCAAACACCTGCCAAAAACTTAGCTTCACTTTGGTTTCATAAGCAGAATGGCGCGTTCCTACTCCTTATGTCCGTAGGACAACGCTTTACCTGCTCTAAGACTTTATCTCTGTAAGGAAACTGAGAAAGGTCTCTTTCTAACACATTGTCTCTTATGACAAAAACCGAAATAATTTTTTTTCTCGAAAACTGTTAGAGATAAACCTATCGAACTTTATATCATTGAAATCAGCGAAAGCATAGCTTTCTAATGAACTATTAATATATAGGGTGTCCTATTGAAAAAATCGGATTTTGGTCAATATCTCGAAATCGAAGCCAGACAGAAAAAAACTGAGAACGTCACTGAATTCTGCTTCAAAAAGTGCTTCCAAAAGGTCTTTACGGAAATGAATTATTTTCATAAACAAAAAAGTTATGGAGGCTTTACAGTATTGCTCAAAATCGAGAATCGCCCTCTAGCGGCTAAACGGTTGAAGATATCAAAATGCGGTTTGCACCAATCAAGATTTCATGAAATTTGAGCCTCAGAGTGAGGGGTCCATTTTTTTCTATCTCTAAAAATAAAGGGTGTTTCCATAAGAAAGTGTCAAATTTGAACTACCCTGTACTTGAAACCAGGATTAATTTCTATCTATCTATTGTTGGAAAAAGTAATAAAAAGTATTTTTACTTAATTTTCACTAATTTATTTACAACAGTAACATGTTTCGCTACACTGTAGTTTCATCAGACTACTAAAAATAATTTTTATTATTTTTTCCAACCATGGATAAATTCAATTTTCACCAAGTATCGGCTCAATCAATTCAATTAATTTCTCTTACCAATAGAAGCTCAAAACAGGGATGTTATACAGGGTGATTCACGTAACCCGGTCATTAGCTTGCAGGTGAATTGAATAATAATAATACTAATTCACCTGCAAACTGCATGGGCTACGTAATATATTTTGGTCAATGTAGCTTCATATTCCAATACTCTCCTTCATTAAGTGACCTCTTGGACAAAGTGAATGAAAAACTTCCTCCGATAGTGGTTTTGTGAAAATATCACCAATATTTTCGTTAGTAGCTATGTATTGCACCTAGACACCATGAGCGGGACTCTGTGTCATGTCGAATTCTATCAGTCGACAAGATTCTACATGGTTGGCTCTCTGTGCATCAAAAATATCGGCAAAACGCGATTTATTTTATACTTTCATTTCTACATCTCGAGACCATAGAGAAATATAATAGTAGTAAACTACGAGAGAAGTCGTGCCCCTGTCACAGATTACTTACATACAGATGCGAAAGAGCGGCGAATTCGTGGTTCAAGATTAATTTGATAGATATAGGCTGGCTGCACCAATGCCACATCAATGTATTTTGAACATATTTATTATATAACTGCGGAAGCTCAATAATATAATAGTATTTCTTTAATTGGTTCACAAACAGCAAAAACATATTTTTTTCTACCCGCAAAAATATGTAAACACACAGGCTGGAACATGCTCACGCACTCGGCCACGTTAATTGTCCTGACGCGGGCGATCTTTATCTATGCGTGGGGCCGCTGGCGGCCCGGCTTCGTCACAGAATATCGTCGACAGTAAGTATTAGGTGATCTGTGTCCCTGTATTTAACTGGCACAATGTCGACGTTAGCGCCCCTGGTAGCTACGAACAACAACTAAAAGAGGGAAAATTGTTTGAATGCAGGTTTCTTCTTTACCAACACAGGAAATAAGGCGGCTTTTTTGAATAATTAAATTATTAACTTTTATTTTATTTAGATTTATTGAAAATAAAGTACTGTACACGCTCAAAACAGTTAATTGCAAAGCAATACATTTGTTGAAAAACTTGAGTAAACTTACCGAGCAACTGTTTAGAACGGTAACAGAACTTATTTTTAACAAATCCAAATTAGGTGAAATGTGATTCCTTGCGGGGGTCAAGGAGGTAATTAAACAATACAAAAATTGAAATATCTTCAAACAAACTTATTTTTCTATTCCAATTTTAAAAATATATACAGTAACTAAAAATTTTTGTATTATATGTTCTGTGTTTACCTTTTTACTGCATCTCGCATCATCGCATATTCGGAAACACACTTTTATTGGTGTCGGTTTTATCTAATTAACTAATAATTATGATCACAGAATTTTCAGGGCAATTTGCTGACAAAGAAAAATTAAACCAAGTTGTCGGAAACGATCGAAGTAATTAGTTAATCTGCCACACCATGCGAAATGCGCTACGAGTGTGCGCACAAACACACTACCAGATTCTTACATTAAACAAACTTCTCTCTAAAGTTTTTTTTTTTAAAGATTAAAGTCAAAATGACATTATGTTGGCAATACAATGTAAAATTGTCAATGCTTGACTTGGGGAATTAGGGAATTATTGAAGAGTGTAACACTCTTTTATCGAAACAAAAGAATGCTCATAATCTGTGCTCGATTATGCTCAGTGGTTGTTCAGCTTGGGGTGGTCCTTGGTATTGGTACAGTAAAGAGAGGGCGCCACTAGTTCGTATAAAATTATTTTGATTACAAAAGAATAGCCAAACTAGACACTATTCAAATAGTTAGCTAGTATTTAAAAAGGTAAATTTAAAAATCTGAAAAGGTAAAATAAATCCAAAATCCAATAGCTATCTGACATTTAACCCATTCAATAAAAACACAAGTTTTGGAATTCTAAAAACAAAAATTTATTAATTAAATGTCGAACTTCATGTTGGATAAACTGATATTCATATCAGTGAAACAAAAATTAATAAACTAAACTTTGATTATTAACCTATACTTTGCTAATTTATATCGCAGCTATGGATGACTGAATGTGTTTATAATAGTTTTTATATGTAAGGTAAACAGATGAGGAATCGTTTACTTAAGAAAGGGTTTTGTAATTCTTTGTCTTGATGTTGAGTCAGTTCGTATAGTTATTTCTATGAGTTCACACGCTCTGCTTTCCACGCTGTGTTCGGTACAATAAATATATTGAATATCGATAATTAACAAGTTCTTTTATTTCTTAGTCCATTTCCCAATAGGTTATGGGACCCAGTGTACGTGTATTCATTGCGGTTGTGAAAACCGGGAGTGTTTAATGTGATAGTGACAATGGAAAATTTGAAACTAAAAAGAAACAAAAGGCTTCATGCTAACAGAGCTTGAACTTAGATAAGAACACCAGAGCTCAGCAATTTAGAAATAATTATCGTTGAGGATATTTTAAAATCAATTTTAAAAGACGTCAAATCTCTGAAACACAATGAAAAAAGTGAAACAAAACAATTCCATCAATAATTAAAAAAAAAATGGAACTCTTATAACAGCAACCAAAAAGGGCACAATTAGTGTTCCCAGTAATATGGGCATACAGGAAAGTCTTTGGTATAGGCTGGACTGTCCAGAGGTTCCTTACAATTTGCTGTCCGTAAGAAAAATGCAAAGGGCTAGTATGACTATTGCTTAAAAAAAAAGTGCTAGTATTTACAAAGGCGGTAAGCTTATAATTTATGGGTAAGTCTTTGAACACTTTAATAATAATTGCTCTTGAACTCACTGTTATTGGAAATTTAAAAAACACTATTATTCAAGCACATAGTGACAATTAAATATAAATAAAAATTATCAATTGTGGTTTGAACGTTAAGGCAACATTGGTGAGGTTCAAATTATTAAATTATTATTAAAAAAAAAAAAACAGATATCGAGGACTTAGGGCAAATCGATCAGGTTATACAATGAGTATTTATGTGAAGCGTGCATAAACAAGCGCGACTTCCATTTCAAAAACATTGTACTGTTTGTGCATGAATTTACTTACTATTGTGTAATATATTTGATGAGTCATAAGTCATATGTATTTTGTATGTTT